TGCTTTCAGTTCAGGAATACCATATGCTTGATTTAGTTGCTCCTGAAACTCCTGGTCATTCTTGTCATAGGGATCTTGATGTTTCCTTGTGGCGAAAGCACAAAGGGTATTCTCGCATGTGCTATTCATGATAGATTTAAGGACCAGCAACTATGGACAGTTTGTGGTTCCTGTTCATTGAGCATTGTCAGGCTGATTGTGACGTGTTGATTGCATTGGACGTTCTTTGCTGAGTCCCTGAATCCAAAGTTGCTTCTGCTGCATTGCTGCTTTTTTTTTTGGATAGTTTGACGGAGATAGTAGACCAGATTAGGCGATGGTTAGCCCAGCAGTCATCAGCTACTGTCATGCTGTGGTCTGTTCAAGCATGTTTGTGATCCTTTGCTTGGAAAGTGACGTGGTTAAGCTGGTGTCATGTCTAGAATGAGGATATTGCCATGAAGTCTTGTATTTGTCTCTGATGAAATATGGTGTTCATTATGACCAGACTACATTCTAGGCATTTCATCAGAATGAAAATGTTGTTGGTGTTTGCTTCCCTATTTCTTCCTCAACAAACAGATCTTTTCAGAAGTTTGTGTTCCCACAACACTCTAGCTTTCCTGTTTGACCTTATCCATTGCTTCTAGGTTTGGGAAGTGCACTGATGCCCATGGTGTACTGTTTCTGGAATACAGTAAGCCAAAGGGTTTTGAGACATCCATTTGTTACACAAGGGTGTTCACTAAGATGCTCAATTAGTTTTTTAATGGCAAAGCCAATTCTATGGAGTCAGAGTTGTTCTTCTGATTTACCTTTCAAGGAGAAAGTGAATCACCACCTTGTTCTTCAAGCTGTCTTTCTCCTGTTCACTGTGTTTCTCTCAGGCTAACAATGTTAGTGTTAAAGCACCAGCCACATTGCCAGGCTACTATAGCTGTGTGATATTCAGATCGGTCACCACTGGGGTTGTCCACAAGAGTCTTGATGTTCTAATTTCTGAAATTAATTTTGAGGGTGTGAAAAATGCTTGTGCATGGCTCATTTGCACACTGACTACCACACAGTCTTGGTGGTGCAAGGTTTTGTCCAAAAGCAGGGATAGCTGAGAGAATTGGAGATCAAACTCAGCTGCAGAGGTGGGAGTTAACACACATATATGATTTTGCCCTAAACATTCCCATCCCAGCGGTCGACAGTCTTGCTTGCTTTCTGACGGTATTCTGACAATTAATCTGTCCACAACTCATCTTCATGTGGCATCACTAGGCCCTAGGTCTTGATATTGTCTTCCTAGTGCCAGGCCCTGCTGATCTCACCTATCAGCACTACTCTGATCCAGATACCGCTTCTGGAAGCCCTACTCTGATCCGGAAACCTCTTCTGAGAGCCCCACTCTGATCTGGACACCTTTTCCAGGAGACCCGTTCTAATCAGACACCACTCCAGGGAGATCTGCTTTGATCCAGAGACCTCGTCCCAGCCTCACTCTCTCCAGACACCATTCTCAGCAACCCCACTCTGATGTGGCAAACACCACTGGTCAAAGAGAGACTGAATTAGACATTGTACTCAGTGCTGAATGTGGACAAATAAATTACATCCCCAGATAAACAACCCAATAAAAAAACTCAGACTAAATAAAAGCCTGGATAATTGCCTGCAGCTAACACACCCAAAATAAAACTCAAACAGAGTCCCAAAAAAATGACTTTCAGCCTCACTTCCCCAAACCCTACTCCCCATATCCCAAGACTGTAGATTCATATTCCTCAAACTCCAGTTCCTGGAGTTCCAATTCCCCGGACTCTCACCCCCAGCTTTCCCAGACTCTGGGTTCCTATTCCCTGGATTCTTATCATCACTTGCCAGACTCTGGGATCCTATGCATTGGACTCTGGGTTCCCTGGACTCTCAGCACCCCCCACTTCTCTGAACTCGCACCCCCACTTCCCCGGACTCTGTGTTCCTCTTCCCTGAACTCTCACCCCAACTTCCCCGGACTCTCATCCCCACGTCCCCGGACTCTCACTCCCACTTTCCTGGTCTGTCACCCCTACTTCCCCAGACATCCCCCCCTTCCTCGGACTCTTTGCTCCACTTTCCCAGATTCTGAGTTCATCTTCCCTAATCTCTCACCCCCAATTGCTGGACTCTCATCCCCACTGCCCCGGATCTTTCCCCCACCTTCCTCAGATTCTTAGCCCCACTTCCCCAGATTCTGGGTTCCACTTAGAACAACAAAAGAACAAAGACTTCCTCAGACTCTCAGCCCTACTTTCCCGGACACTCTCCCCACCCTGCTCAGCCTCAGACTCTCACACCCACTTCCCTGGACTCTGGGTTCTTCCTCCCCTTACTCTCACCCCCACCTCCCTGGATTCTCACCCTCACTTTCCCAAACTCTGGGTTCCCTTTCCTAGGACTGTCACCCTGTCTTCCCCAGACTCTCAACTCCACTTCCCCGGACTCTGGGTTCCTACTTCTGGGACACTGGCTTCGTATTCCCTAGACTCTTTGTTCCTATTGCCTGGAATCTTGCATTCTACTCCATGAACTCCCAGCCCCTTATTCTAGTTTCTGTTTCCCAAATTCTCTGTTCCTATTCTCCCGACTCTTAGTTCCAATTCTGTAGACTCTCAGCCCTGCCTCCCTGGATATTTTAGGTTCCATGTGCAGGGAATGCAGCACAGTTGAAAATGCTATTTTTTACATCAAGTTTTAAATCAAGTCCCATCTGCTTTCTCAGCTGACTGCAATGAAAGCAGATTGGATAGGCCGTTCTTATTTACTGCATGTGCAACCTTGATGTGTGCAAATCAGTTGCTTAGCTTAGTGCACATACATATACATTGCAAAGATTTTCTTCTATCCTTCCTTTCTACTATTTGTAATGCTTGCTCAATGCATTTCTCATTTTCATTCTCTAATGACAGTAAAAAAAAAATTCTGCCTGACTTATTTCCGTCTCACTTGCTCATTTACAATCTATGGGGATTTTCAATTCTTCACTGCCGGATGGGGAGGGAGAAAAACCAAGATCAGTTCACCAATTCCTTTTATGTCTTGAAGAGTTCAACCTTAAAACCTCTTCTCCAAAAATGGCTCAACATTATAATTGTCCTTTAAAACTTAAATTCCTGATTATATAACTTTTCAGGGTCTACTTTACACTTCTTTTTCTAAATTATTTAGGTAAAATTTCTGAGGTCACTTTGTTGGCAAGTTTTACTTCTGTGTACCTTTTAAGATTACCTTCACTATTTGTATCTCAGTAAGGATTTGTTAACATCAGTAGGAAAATGAATGTCATGACTTTTGTGATAATTATTCATTACTGTAGGAATAATCCTCTACCTCTCTAGGATCTCTCCCAATACTGATAAGTGATAGAACAGCATATCAGATCTTGCTTTAGGCCTAAACTACTGTTATTTCAAAAAGGAAGGAAATAAGTAGTGAAAGTTATTAACGCTAATTAGCTTACATATTTATAGTAAAATTTTATTTCAATTAATAAACAATAAAAGGTTGCAGTTTTAATGCTATGCTATTATTTTTGAAAATAGCTTTTAAGTCTTTCTTTCCTTATATAATTTACCACTCACAATTTGCAACAGCTGAAAATACTTGTAATCTTCTGTGTTATAATTCCAGATCTCTCCAGCCTGTCTAATTGAATGCACACTATAACCTCTCGCTTGAACACAAAGTGGCCTTCTTAATGTATTGTACAACCCCTCAACCTGTCTCCTGATCACACATTGCAATGCTTTCCAGTGGAATCAGATATTCCACTGTATACAGAGATAGTAAGAACTGCCAATGCTGGAGTCTGAGATAAGACAGTGTGGAGCTGGAGGAACACAGCAGGCCAGGCAGCATCAGAGGAGCAGGAAAGCTGACGTTTCGGGTCGGGACCCTTCTTCAGAAAATTCTGAATTGTATTTTCCATCTGGCCTGATGTGTTGCACCAGCTCCACACTGTGTTATTTCCACTTTATACAATTGGCTGCTCATTCTGACTCTGCCTTTCTGCAACTAAATTTGGTTCAATTTGATCACCATCGTCCTTCTATTTTTGCAAAATCACATCTCAGAACATCTTTTATATAGATAAAGTTATTGCAGATATTTGCTCCATCTCTTTCTTCACTCTCAGATATAGCTGAAGCTACTGTGAGGTCTGTTCCAACGCTGTTCTTAAAGTGATTTGACTGAGGAAAATATTTATAGAACAACATATATTTATTCCCATGATTTCTTTCCATTACCATACTGAATTGTATTTTCCATCTGAATGCTCAAATGTAGCACGCACTCTCCCCAAGTGACAGGCACAATCTGTATCATCTCCTCATGATGGGCCTTCTGCCCAGAAGCTCATTACATTGAAATTCACAGCCATGATTCCCTGTGTGTACACTTTGTGGCAACACAGCAAATTCTCAGCATATACCTCTGCAAGAGTTAAACCCAGGTCCTTATTAACTTTGCTTAGTCTAGCAATCCTCAACATGAAAGACCCACATTTATCCCACTAATATCACAGCTTCAGCAATGTGACTATTAATTCAGCTCATTTACTTAAACCTGTCACCTGGAGAGTTTGTTTGTGACCTGTGAAGATTAAATTATTAACACAACAACTCTGAGAGCTTCTTTGACTTTAAATCATTTGACCTATGGGTTAGATTTATTTAATTGACATATACCTGGCCTATTCAGCAATCTGAGTAATGTTTTCTGCCCGAATGTATCCCAACTATTCCCACTTCTGGAAGATTCTGTGCAAAATCGAAGATGTCAAGCATTTTATTAACAAGGTCCTGTTACTGCCATCATTTAGAAATTTATGAATCATGGTTTAATAAAAGGAGGCTATTAGCTAATAGGCTGAAAAGTGTACAGTGAAAAAATAATTACTGACATTTCAAGTTTCTCTTTGTATGCGAGTTTCAGTTTTTTACATGTATTTTCAACAGGAGAATTTTGCGTAAGAGAAGTTGCACATTATTTACCTTGGTAGCTAAAAACATGGAGCTGAATTCCTGAACGTCAGATCGCAGTCTCCAAAGATAAAATGCTCCAAGTCCATCCCCAATCAGAGCCAGAAGCACCAGCATCAGAAGAAACTTGTGTGTGAAAGTCAATTTTTTCCGTTTAGTTGAGGTTGCAAAAGGGACAGTGTCTGTCTGTCCATCCACTACAAAAACTGAAGGATAAGCATAGCTGTCCCCCATTTTTGGGGAGTTGAGTGCAAAAAAAAAATCAAAGAAAGAACTTTCTGGTAAATTTGGATTTAAAAGCCAAGTGATGCCGAGCACATTCATCAATTAAGAGCCCAGCCAGTCCCCAGACAACATCATTCACTCAAAAGTGGGCAAACCTTGTGGCTTGGTGCTTTATATCATTACTAAGCAGCCACCCACAGACATTTGTCAATTTGAAACCACATAGTTAGCTTCCAATAGCCTTCACCACTGGGCTTCCTGCTGCTTGTCAAGATGACACAACTGCAAGAATGGATGCTTATACCAGCAGTAACTACAGTTGCAGGATGTTTGCAGGTTATTGCCTTACACAAAAAGCAATAACTTTTTTCAATATTTCTGATATCCTTTATCAGATTTGTTATCATCATTTTTCCATTCAGTGATTGCTTCCGTTATCAGGTTGCGAGGGGATATTTTAGTCTATGTATTCATTTATGAAAAAAAATCTTTGTAATGGAAGCCTTGTCTCTTAAGATGAATGTTTGTACTATGCTACTCAACTCTGTATTAGGCATTTCCTGGTGTGGCTTGAGAGGACTACAATGATTTGAAAAGATGCACATTTCTCGGTCCTCTGTTTTTGCTGGACTCTCTTCTCTGGCTGGGTTTTTTGTCCTGGTTTGTTTCTTCCAATGACATTCCAAACAAGGAGCCTCCAGAGGTCACAGCTGTCAGGACTTTTTCTCAGTTGTCTGTGGTGTCTTATCTCACAGGTGTCCTTGTCTTGGAGGTATGTACACCTAGGAGATCATGACCTTATCAGCCAATTTAATTTACAGAAGCTGTTTAGGTAAATGGCAGTCATTAATCTGATGAATATGATTGAGCAAATACAGACTGACTACTTAGCAATGAATATCTGTTGATAGAATTAGCATTGTTCACCACCTCTGTGTTCATGACCTTTTCCTGCCAAGAGAGATATCTGAGACAGGAAAGGTCAGAAATGTTCAGCCTTTTCTCCTACTGAGAAAATGGTGTTCAGGTCTTACCATTGCAGAGATGTAAGATATTGGAGCAGAATTAGGCCATTTGAACCATCAAGTCTGCTCTGCCATTTGAACATGGCTGATATGTTTCTCAACCCCATTCTCCTGCCCTCTCCCCATAACATTTGATCCCCCATGAATCAAGAATCTATCTATCTCTGTCTTAAAGGCATTCAGTGACTTGGCCTCCACTGCCCGCTGCAGCAATGAGTTCCACAGATTCACCACGCTCTGGCTTTGTCTCAGTTCTAAAGGGTTGTCCCTTCACACTGGGGTTGTGCTGTTGGATCCTAGTCTCTCCTACCAGTGGAAACATTTTCTCCACGTCCACAACAGCTTCAGCAGTACATCCCTGCTCTCGTATGCCAGCCCTTTTGAAATAAATTCTAACATTGCATTTGCCAGAAATGCTTTGAGGACATGGGTTTGGTACATTCAAGGTTTGGTATTCTTAGGTCACTGCTGTTCCATACTCTCTTACTCAGGTGGAAATAATAGTTGCAGTTTTTGTAATATGTATGTTGATTTCAGCTTCAAGTGACAGATTGCTAGATGGGATCTAAATATGTATAGTGCTAATAACAACCTCAGAGTTAAATTCTCAACTCTGATAAATGTAAGTATGGTGGCAACCTAGATCATGACATTTGGCTTCCTGGTGCTGATGATCAAAGCAAGCTCTTTACAGGTCTGTGAAAGTCTCTTCATTTAATGCTGACTGTGTTCCTCTGTATGGATGCAGCATCATCTGCACACAGCAACTCTGCCATGAAGATTTGGATGCACCTTTTTTCAAGCAGAGTGGGAAGAATAAACCAAGAAACCACAGGCATCTAACTGCAGTGCTAGACAAACGTTTGGAAAAAAAGTCTGAAGGACAGAATTAAATTTTCACTTGGAAAGATAAGAATTAATAGGATAGTCAGCATGGTTTTGTCAGGGGGAGATCCTATCTAACAAATTTGATTGAATTTTTGAGGTGGTAACGAGATGTGTAGATAAGAGTAATGTAGGTGATGTAGTCATGGGAGATGGGTCAAGAAGGAACAGCCCATGGGATACAGGGTGTTGGCAGGACTCGCACAAATCAAGTCTTCAGTCTGAATAGATCATAACAGGGCGGACTTTATTTAGGCATGTACCAATGCAGCATGGGAGAGCTCTTGGAGTCAAGTTCCAAGGCATTCTGCAGGTTACAGCTCAAAACAAAGTATTTATACATTTTCCCCTCACAATGGTTACATGCAATATTGGTATAAAATAAACTATATGTCAATCCTTTACCACAAAAGAGGATGCAGCATATTTTCTTGCAAGGTGCTGTTGTCTTGTTCCTCCTTAAAACAAGTTAGACAACTCCAACCAGAATGTTATGAATGAGTTTGCCCAGGTGTCCTCCAATACAGATGCTGTCAAATTGCTATGAACACAAGTCAGTACCAATGCAAAACAGTCCCAACTTTATTAGGAAACAACTTACAATAACCATTAATACTAAACATTCCATCTCTAATGCTATTTGGCCCCTTAAGCTGACAATAATTCCCAAGTCTCTTGTAGATTTACCCAGTTGCTCTCTCTCTAGCTCTATCTCTGGATCAGCGAAGCTGGTTTCTTTCTCCCCACCCCCCCCCCCCCCCCCCCCCCCCCCCCCTGGTCCGCTGGTTTCTGCCACTTGCCATGCTGGTCTCGTCAGAAGGTCTCCAGAAGATTCAAGAGAGTGGTCCACAGGTGAGCTCGTTTTTATACCTTTTTAGATGGTTTCCTGTAACTTTCTATAGTTCTGGCCAATCAGGGAGACTCACTTAATAGTTTGAAACAGTGTCAATCATTTGAATGGCATGCTACTGTTTGGTTCTTTGTGCATTGGATCCTGAGGTTTTCCTTAATCACTGGGTTCATCACCAGCTAGTGTAAAGCTTGTCAATTGATAGCATGGTCGAGGTCATATTGCTGATGGCAATTTTGTGATCGTCTGGGGGCACTATTTCTGTCCTTTGCTTTAACACCCAGCAGCAGTTGCTATGTAGTATATCTGTCTATATGGACATACTGAAGAAAAGACTGATAATTCACAGGCAAAAATCGACAACAAGCAATTCACAAATGTAACAAAACCACAATCTGTAGGTTTTTGTCTGATTAATTCTTCTGGACATGCTCAATGATCTCCCTTGGTGACACTTGGATAAATCTATTCCTCTCTTAGTAGAATTCATAATGATTGTATAATTCAGTAGGTTACTTAGCGATATCCATGTACCCTCATCACTCCATCTCCCTCCTCAGCAACTGCGTAACTCTCTCCATTACTAACTTCTCTCAAATACTTGATACTCGATTGGTGTTCGACTGTAATAATCTGTTCAAATTGTTTACATTTCTGTTTTCTTTCAGTTAATCTGTGTCCATAACTTTTTCTAAAATTCACTATATCGCAATCATTTGTAACCTCTGAATATTATAGATTCAGATTTATGCTCCTTAATTTGGTTTATTATCCTGTAGTTCTCTAACTGCAGATCGCCTCACTCGACAATACTAAAATAACATAAGAACATAAGAACTAGGAGCAGGAGTAGGCCATCTGGCCCCTCGAGCCTGCCCCGCAACTTAATAAGATCATGGCTGATCTTTTTGAGACTCAGCTCCACTTACCCGTCTGCTCACCATAACCCTTAATTCCTTTACTGTTCAAAAATTTATCTAGCCTTGCCTTAAAAACATTCAGCGAGGTAGCTTCAACCGGTTCACTGGGCAGGGAATACCACAGATTCACAACCCTTTGGGTGAAGAAGTTCCTCCTGACCTCAGTCCTACATCTGCTTCCCTTTACTTTGAGGCTATGCTCCCTAGTCCGAGTTTCACCTGCTAGCGGAAACAACCTCCCTGCCTCCACCTTATCTATTCCCTTCATAATCTTATATGTTTCTATAAGATCTCCCCTCATTCTTCTGAATTCCAATGAGTATAATCCCAGCCTACTCAGTCTCTCCTCATTATCCAACCCTCTCAACTCTGGAATCAACCAAGTGAATCTCCTCTGCACCCCCTCCAGTGCTAGTATATCCCTTCTCAAGTAAGGAGACCAAAACTGCACACAGTACTCCAGGTGTGGCCTCACCAGGACCCTATACAGCTGCAGCATAGCCTCCCTGTTTTTAAACTCCATCCCTCTAGCAATGACAGACAAAATTCCATTTGTCTTTTTAATTACCTGCTGCACCTGCAATCCTACTTTTAGCGATTCATGCACAAGGACCTCTGCAAGGGACCCAAGTCCCTCTGCACAGCAGCGACCTGCAATTTTTTACTGTTTAAAACAGAGTCCATTTTGCTGTTATTCCTACCAAAATGGATGACCTCACACTTATCAACATTGTACTCCATCTGCCTGACCTTTGCCCACTCACTTAGACTATCTATATCCCTCTGCAGACTTTCAGTATCTTCTGCACACTTTGCTCTACCAATCACCTTAGTGTCATCTGCAAATTTTGACACACCACACTTAGTCCCCAACTCCAAATTATCTATGTAAATTGTAAGCAATTGCGGTCCCAACACTGATCCCTGAGGCACACCACTAGCCACTGACCGCCAACCAGAAAAACACCCATTTACCCCTACTCTTTGTTTTCTACCGGTCAACCAATCCTCTATCCATGCCAATACATTACCTGTAAAACCGTGCAACTTTATCTTATATAGCAGCCTTTGGTGTGGCACCTTGTCAAATGTCTTCTGGAAATCCAGATACGCCACATCCACAGGTTCCCCATTGTCCACCATGCAAGTAATGTCTTCAAAGAATTCCTCCAAATTAGGTAAATATGACCTACCCTTCATGAACCCATGCTGTGTGCCCAATGGGACAATTTATATCCAGATGTCTTGCTATTTCTTCCTTAATGATAGATTCAAGCATTTTCCCCACTACCAAAGTTAAGCTAACTGGCCTAAAGTTACCTGCTTTTTGTCTACT